CTCCTTTTGAAGCTCAAAAAGCTTTGCTGAGCTTTGTAGTCCAAGGGACTTGTTTTATCTTAAAACCTTGCAGATTCTAGTATGACTAGCAAGCTTGGTAGAGGTATTCTTCAAATACGTTTTTACTTTCGGCTTCCTAATAAAGTTATTTGGAAATGCCACTTGTTCTCTTGATGAGAATTGCATACAGCTATCTGCTGATGCGCATAATAGGCTGTGTATTTCTGGATTCACACTGAGAGAGTACGCTAAGCTCCAGACCTGCAGATCCTGCCAGGAAGATTCTAGTTCTCATCAAAGTTTCTATGTAGCCTGTGTCATTACACCTTGTGATGGTAGGAAGGGGGCTTTCCTCAGCAAAAGAGCAACTTATTGCTCAGCAAACAAAAGTCACACGTGGAAATCATGGGCTCTTCTGCGCCCCTGCTCAATGCTTGTTTTCAATTATGAGATGGGAGACTAGACATTGAAATAATAGCAGGAATACAACAGTTTATGTTTGCAGGTAATACTTGGCGATATCCTTGGAAAGGGGTGAAGATAAAGCTCTCCATTGTAAGTATCCCACCTAAAACTCAGTTCTGTCTGTCAGTCCCCTGAGATACATATTCCAAAGTAATGAATGTAGGACAGGTACTCCACAAGAAAATCAGTTTTTCCAGTATCTGAATTCAGTGCTTTAAATGATCTTGGTTGCAGTGTAGATAGATACACCTGGAAAGCACATCCTGGCCAGATTTTTAACATGCTTTTTAAGTAGGGAGAAAAAAAATAAGCTGGATAGGAATAAGCCATCTGACCCATGATAGAGTTACAGGGAAATAAACAGGTCCTTCTTGTGCTGAGGGCTCCAGAGCTGGACGCAGTACTCCAGGTGAGGTCTCACCAGAGCTGAGTAGAGGGGCAGAATCACCTCCCTCGACCTGCTAGCCACACTCCTCCTGATGCAGCCCAGAGCCCCCCATGAAGGGGGCTTTCCTCAGCAAAAGAGCAACTTATTGCTCAGCAAACAAAAGTCACACGTGGAAATCATGGGCTCTTCTGTGCCCCTGCTCAATGCTTGTTTTCAATTATGAGATGGGAGACTAGACATTGAAATAATAGCAGGAATACAACAGTTTATGTTTGCAGGTAATACTTGGCGATATCCTTGGAAAGGGGTGAAGATAAAGCTCTCCATTGTAAGTATCCCACCTAAAACTCAGTTCTGTCTGTCAGTCCCCTGAGATACATATTCCAAAGTAATGAATGTAGGACAGGTACTCCACAAGAAAATCAGTTTTTCCAGTATCTGAATTCAGTGCTTTAAATGATCTTGGTTGCAGTGTAGATAGATACACCTGGAAAGCACATCCTGGCCAGATTTTTAACATGCTTTTTAAGTAGGGAGAAAAAAAATAAGCTGGATAGGAATAAGCCATCTGACCCATGATAGAGTTACAGGGAAATAAACAGAAGTAGTTCTTGGAAATAGTTTCAGGTAGCCATTTGTTCTCAGTTATGAGATGGCAGACTTTGATAGCAGAAGCAGCCTTTCGCATCCAAGGTTTTCATATTTTCTGGTTTGTTTATATACCCCCTCTTCCTCTCCCTCTTCTGGGAGTTTAAGTAGACAAATAAACCCTCATATTTATATGTAATTTAACCTCTGAGCATCTTGAAGCACACATCTTTTTTTATGAGGCTCAACGTTTGTTTATGCAACTAGACAAACAGTAGTTCTGGATCTTTGAATTTAAAGTGAAGTTACCAAAGACAGCTTGCTCTGGATCTCAGTATCTGAACTAAATCAGAAAGAAACTTGGGAGTGGATCCAAGCATAGCAGTTACTGGAATATGTTACCATTACCTTTGGTCTAAGATACTGGAAGCACTCAAGAAAGACTCCCAAGAAGCAAACCAAATCCACTAGATCTTAAGTTCTCTGGGAATTTAGCTTTGAATACCCCAGAAGAGTTCCAGGCTTGTGCCATATTGAACAGTTTCAGGAGGAGTTAGATTTGTATTTTTTTCATCGCTGTTTTTCTGTTCTGCTACCTGTTTTGTTCTTTGGCATTAAGCTCTGTCTTGGGTATTGTTTGTACATAGTAGAACATGCTGCACTTGCCAGAGGAGCACAAAATTAAAAAAAAAAAAAAAAAGTAATTAGATACTTTTTCCAATTATTTTGCTTTCTTTCAGGATATGACCATGCTAAAATAGTCCAACATAGAATACAGATTCATTCCTTTTGTACATTACCTGAAGGACACAATTATTAAAATGTCTCTTGAAAGAAGCACATTAAGCGTTTAAAAAAGTGTAGCAACTGGAGAAAAAGAGTAATTTTTAGGTGAATTTGAAGCTGCTTTTTATTTCATTGGTGAAAGCCAGTATGAGCAGATCATACAAAGTGGGAGCTCAGAACTACGGGTGTTACAGCCACATCAGCAAGTGGAGGTTTCTTGACCTGACTTTGTTTCAAATACAGAAAATGATGGAGACGGCCTGGTAAGCCACCAGAAGCCTCTGCCCAGGCGCAGGTGTGATCCTCCTGCTCTGCCTCGGGATGGTTTCTCTGTCTGGGAGACAAACCCTTCCTTCCTTTTGGGCTGTTAGTGTTTGTTGTGTTAGAGTCAGAGCTGTACCCTCTTTCGTTACAGGCCGGTGCTAGCTGCTCTTCTGGACATAATGGAAGCTGCTGTTCTGCCCGTATGGCTTCCTCTGGGCTGGACGCCCCACAGCAGCAGGACCAGGGGCCCATCAGAAGGCAGAGACGGTCAGTTGTGTCTATCTCCAGGGAGCTTGCTTTCAGTTTCAGAAGGCTCAATACTTTACTTCTGCGAGCTGTGAGGCTGTTGCTCTAGGATGGGAATGTGGGGGAAAACACGTTCTGCTTATATTGATAATACGTTTCCCCGCTCAAGCTTAGGTGGTGCGGGATGGCAGTTTGTCTTCTGCTTTGCTTAAGGTTAGCACCGGGACCTACGCTGAGGTAGGAGCTATACTGGCAGCCCGATCATGCCTGTGCCAGTCAGATCTCAGCTACGCAAAAGTCTCCAAGAGATACTTCTACCAGGTTTGGGCGTTGGTTTTTTTGTGAGAATATCCTCATTTTCCATGGGTTGCGTCCTCACTATATCCTCTTGGTATCTTGGTTTCTTGTGGCTTAACCAGGCATCTTGTTGATCCTCATGGTCCTTTCGATGGTGTTTGTGTAGCTCTTACTAGAACTGCTGCTGCATCACAAGAATCCACTGCACCAACAATGTGGCTGGTGTTGCTGGTTTTCTATATAATGAGGCTCTCTGAATTCAAGTGTGCTTTTTTTGAACTTGTCTTCCCTCCTTACTAAGTTGCTTCCTGATCCAGAATCAAGGAATAAACCCCCCCTTCTCTTTCCAAAACCAAGCACCAATGGCCTGCAAACCTTTTGGAAAACTAACTTCTTTTATCTAGGGGATCCTTCCCCCTCATATTTTTTTCTAATTATTCTTTTAATTAAAAATACTGTTCCCTACAGAACATACTGCTAGCTTTCTCTGCTCAGGCACCTGTGCTTAGAGTTGATACCAGCTGTTGTGCCACATCCTTAAAAAGTTCAAAGTACTCTATTCAATAGTGAAGCAAACAGCGGTTTGGAAGGACTGTAGGCAGATAGAGAAATGCCAGGTGTTGGGACTAGAAAGGGTGCATTAGCTTCGAGTCATTAGGATATGCTTTACCAGGGCAGTAATACTCATTTACCACAATTTCAAGGCAGAGGATTCATGACTCTGAACTTTATCCCACGGGTTGGTATACTGAACTGGTCAAACCTTACTTCTTGGAGAATTAAAGTTTGAGCCTCCGAGACACTGGACTCCTTTCCAGAACTTCAAGAAAAGCTTTGAACAAACCTGGTAAGAAGCTCAAGGTTTCAATGACAATAGGAAGTTTTAAGAGTAGCAACAATTTTTATGCAAAAGGTAGTTACTGCTCTTGTAACTGGAAACACTTTTTACCTTTAGAAGTGGATTTAGGCGCATCTTTTGTTCACTTCCTGAAATGAGGAATACCATGTTGTTCCAATACCGTGTTGTGTGCCAGGACAGCATAAATGGCAGTACTAGGTATCTAGGAGGTAGCTCACGCAAACAAAATGTTGGCTTTTATCTCGTTAAAAATAAGCTAGAAACCAGGACAAGCCTTCATGTTAGAAAAGTAAAGGGATTTGCAGGACCACTTGTGTCACGGCAGTGTGAGTTCCTCAACTAAGGGTGGGGGTGTTGCCTATTGTCTGTGCTGTTCACCTGCAATTTCTCAATGAGAACTTCAAAACTGACACGACTTCTGTATGACTGGTGATTTTTATGATCTACAGAATATTGTAACGTTCTTTAAGCTAATAAATAGAGTAAGATCCTTAACTTAGAGGAACCTCAAAGAAAATGGAAAGCTTCATATGCTGCATTTACATGGAATAACAGGTTAGAAAGAAAAAGGGATGAGAGAAATGGAAAGAACTGCATCTTGGCCAAGGAAGAGCAAACTGCCCCAAGAAGCTGGTGTTGGGAACAGCTTTTGATCCTGGAGAGGAGGTGAGATATTAAGACATTAAACATCAGCTCTTAAGTGGGTGCATTTACCAAGCAGAATGCTGGTAATTTGTTCCCTCGGATAACAGTAGTGAAGTCAATTCTAACTAACAAGATAAGAACGCATTTCTAGTTACATCTTATTTTTTACTTAATTGTTAATCATTGTTTCTGCTTCCGGTGTCAAGATTTCTTGCCAGAACAAGCATGTGACTTTCGTCTCCAAGCTTTCCTAATGTTAAGGGTGAACTCAGCTGAGGCTGACAAACAAGCTGTAAACTTCTCCAGTGGTAATGATTCTAGGTGAAGTGGTGTGTGGCCTCCGTATCTTAACTGAA